AGGATGCATGGGTGCTGGAGGCCAGAAATGAAACAGACACATTCTAGCTCCCAGCACAGAAAACTATAAAGCTCTCTCTGCTTGTGTTATCAATTACATATTTACTTTGTTAGCATGAGATAGATGAATATTTCTACATACAAAGGTGCCCAGCTAAAATCAGGCTAAGTGATATTAATGTCCTATGGTCAGTATTATTGAACCTCAAAAGCAATAAACTTTATGAGTCAATAAATATTACATTTGCAGCATAGTTAACATTCCTTTACTGTCTCTAGCTCTTATTACACATGGTAACTGCAAGTCTACAATACATTATTCATATTTGGGGTGTCACCAAGTGATGGATTGCTGTGGGAGAGGCTGTCCTTTAAATAAATCAACAAATAAAAATGCAAATGTTAACATTTTCAGCCACAACTTTTTCCATCTTGAATGGGGAATGAAAATTTCACATTATATTGACAGGCAGCAGAGAGAACAATTAACAACCTACACTGTGAATGAGAAAGATGACTTTGCCACGCCTCATTTTATCACCTGCATATGGAATGATGGGGGGTTTCTAGGTGTTAGCACTTTGCAGAGAACAAAGGGAAACCTGTCTTCCACTAGCATACATCCTACCCCCATACTTTCTTGCAAGACTTGCAAATTCTTGGGATTTTGGGGTAGACAAAGGTCTTTTACTCTTGTTTACCTTAGTATTAACTTCAAAGATTTGTTGCAACAAAGAACAATAGATTTTTCTTTTGCATTGAGTTCCCTGTAACTGAAAAGTAGTCTATAAAAAAATCGCCTTTTCTACACTTTGAAATAAAAATAATTCAAATAATCCCGATTCTGAAGTCTGGAAAGCAACCACTGTGCCTTCCTGGTAACTGATTTCATAGCACTGAATCTTTTTCAACTCTGCACTTTGTAGAATAGACCTATAACATGCCATTGTGCATGTCTAAGGACAAAACCTGGTGTGCTGCACATTGTTTCTTTAGCTTTAGCTAAATGCTCATTATTTAAGAAGCTTCTGAGGATCTATATTTAGCTGATCTGCAGTATTAAGAACCAGCAGATACAGAATCCTTTTTCTTAAGGTCCATAAATATGCGTCTTCACAGCAATTTTTACTGGCCTTGTAAAACTCTACAAAGTTGATACGGTCCATTCAGAAAATGTGTGCTGAGGATGTTCTATAAAACTCTTCCTTGCTTTTACTTTTTCATGCTTCTCAATAAACTGAAATGCAAGAATCAAACACACATTAAAATAGTGTTAAAGGTTCCATTTTAATCTCCAACTATAGGGAGATTCACCAAGACTAAAGATCTGGGCTTGCCCTCCCCTTTGCCTGTAATTCCTCCAGAGGACTCCTCCCCTTTGCCTGTAATTCCTCCAGAGGACTCCCTCAGATGAGCAAGGACAGATCCTCTGAGCACAGGCGTTCAGCCACAACATTAAGCTGCCAAGGTGGGAACTCCATCAATGTTGCAGAACCACAACTCACTGTGGGTCTTTGGCAAAATAACAACAGCAGCATTAAGAAGAAAAAAGGAGTAATAAACAAAGCATGTGGTAAACGAATTAAATTTTCTTTTGATTGTGGGTGGCCTCCAAAATGGGGAGGTTGTCTTTGTCAACTATTTTAATATTTAAGATGGCCTTTGGAGCCTGAAACACTGGCTCACCTCTCATTGGCTATGTGACCTTAGGCAAGTCCCTCAGTCTCTCTGAGCCCCAGTTTGCTAATTTTTAAAGTGAGGGCGACAGTAATACCACTTCACGAGGCTGTGATGAAGATTAACTAAGTCAGATGATGCACATAAAGGGCTAGGAATATGCATGCTTATTGGATGGAAGACATTATTGTCATCCTCTGTGTCATTTCCCGAAAGTTTTTAAAATTAAAATTGTCTTAAAATTTGTATTCATCTCATAATATACTAGGTATTTAGGTGCTCAAACAATCATATTCCCAAGGAAAAATAAATCAAGTCCTTTTGGACTTGATATTTATATTTTCAGCCATAAGTATATAAATGAGAGTTCACTTATTAGATATGAGAATTCTTAATAACATATTTATTTTCCTGATTCCAAACAAGACTGGTCAAATTATTAGCTCTCCATTCAAATTTCTCTGTTATAAGTAAATGTTGACAGTCCTTTAATTGTCGTACAAAATCCACTATATTTTTCAATAACAATAATTCAGTTAGTTAAATTTACAGTCCAGTGTATAACTATTCTGTGATAAATTGAGAAGGACTTGCTGTTAAGCAGATTTATTTATTTATTTTTTTAATGAAGGAGGATTAGTAGTGTTTCCATGGAAATCCTTGCCAATTACCATTATCAACTAGGGAAGGCATGCTTAAAGAAAGGTGCTCATGAGCTCAACCAGCCAAATCTAGATGCCAAATAAAGACCTCTCTCCAGAGTATCAGCCATTAAAAGTATCAAGATTTTTTTCCACTCTTTATTAAATAAACCTCAAAAATGCTCCATGGAAATAAAAGTCTTCCCAAAAGGAACAAGTAAAAACTGTCACTATTTGCAGGTGACATGATACTACACATAGGAAACCTTTAAGATTCCACCAAAAATGTATTACAATAAATGAAATCAGCAAAGCTGCAGGGTATAAAAAATTAAGACACAGAAATCAGATGCATTTCTACACACTAATAGCATGCTACCAGAAAGAGAACTTAAGAAAACAATCTTATTTACAATTAAATAAAAAATTTCTAGGAATAAATTTAAACAAGGAGGTAAAAGACCTGTACTTTGAAAACTATAAGACTCTAATGAAAAAAATTGAAACAACACAAATAAATAGAAAGATAGATCAAGCTCATAGATTGGAAAATTAATATTATTAAGATATCCCCATTACCTAAAGCAATCTGCAATCCCTATCAAAATATCAATAGCATTTTTAACATAACTAGAAAAAAGAATCCTGAGATTTGTATGGAACCACAAAAGACACCAAATAGCCAAAACAATCTTGAGAAAGAACAAAGCTAGAACTATCATGCTCTCTTGTTTCAAAGCATACTACAAAGCTACAGAAACCAAATCAATATGGTACTGGCATAAAAATAGACACATAGATCAATGAAATAGAATACACCACTGAAAAATAAACCCACACATATATGGTCAATTAGTTTATGACAAAGGAAGAATACACAATGGGAAAAAGACAGTCTTTTTAATAAACGGTAATGGGAAAGCTGGACAGTTATATGGGAAAGAATGAAAGTGGGACACCATCTTACGCCGTATACAAAAATAAATTTACGTGGATTAAAGACATGGATATTAGACCTGACAACCATAAAACGCCTAGAAGAAACCATAGGCAGTAAAGTCTTTGACACTGGTCTTAGAAATATGTTTTTAAACTAATCTCCTCAGGCAAGGGAAACAAAGCAAAAATAAATAAATGAGACTACATCAAACTAAAAATCTTTTGCAGAGTGAAGGGAACCATCAACAAAACAAAAGGCAACCTATTGAATGGGAGAAAATGTTTGCAAATCATACATCCAAAAAAGGGTTAGTGTCCAAAATATATAAAGAACTTATACAACTTAATACCAAAATAACCCAAAAAACACAAAAAAACAGATTCTGATTAAAAAATGGGCAAAAACAGTAAAAAAAAAAAAAAGATATACAGATGGTGAACAGACACATGAAAAGATGCTCAACATCACTAATCAGGCAAATGCAAATCAAAATCACAATGAGGTATCACCTCACACCCATCAGAATGGCTATTATCAAAAAGACAGAAATTAGTGTTAGCAAGAATTTGGAGAAAAGGGAACTCTTGTTCACTGTTGGTGGGAATGTAAATTGGTACAGTCATTATGGAAAACAGTATGGAGGTTCCTAAAAAAATTAAACATAAAATTACCATACTATATAGCAATTCCACTTCTATGTATTTATCCGAAGAAAACAAAAACACCGATTTGAAGAGATATGTGCACCCCTATGTTCAATGCAAAATTATTTACAACAGCCAAGACATGGAAGCAAAGTAGGTATCCACTGATAGATAAGTGGATAAAGAAGATATGGTATGAAAGTAAGAAACTTTGTTATTGTTTGGGTTATATTATGATTTTTGAAACTCTACTGCATGAGTTCTGTCCAGATGCTGGAGGTAAGAGTGCTTGAATAAATCATCTTGTGAAACACACACACACACACACACACACACACACACAACAGAATATAGCTCAGTCATAAAAAGAATGAAACATTGCCATTTCCAACAAAATGGATGGACTTAAAGGGTATAATACTAAGTGAAATGAGTCAGACAGAGATAAATACTGTATGATTTCCCTTATATGGGGGATCTAAAAAGCAAAGCAAAAGAACAAACAAAAAAGAACAAACTCTGCCAAAACCGGTTTGGTTCAGTGGATAGAGCGTCGGCCTGCAGACTCAAAGGTCCAGGGTTTGATTCCGATCAAGGGCATGTACCTTGGTTGTGGGCACGTCCCCAGTAGGGGGTGTGTAGGAGGCAGCTGATCGATGTTTCTCTCTCATCGATGTTTCTAATTCTCTATCCCTCTCTCTTCCTCTCTGTAAAAAATCAATTAAAAAAAGTATATATATAGGAACAAACTCATAGATACAGGAAACAAACTGGTGGTTACAGAAAGGTTGAGGGAGAGGTTGGGGGGGGGGCAGCTGAAATAGATGAAGGGGACTAAGAGCTACAAACTTCCAATTAAAATAGAAATAAGTTATAAGGATATAATGTACAGCCTATGGAATATGACCAATAACATTATAATAACTTTGTATGATGACAGATGGTAGCTAGATTTATTGTTGGGATCATAACCTAATGTATATATCAAATTGCTATGATGTACACCTGAAATTAATATGATATTATATGTCAATAAAAACAAAATTTAAAAAATGCTCTTCTCTGGAGACTGTTCAATCAAAGAACCCCTAAAGCTTACCGGGAGGATTTGGGTTGGAATGAAGATGTGGTTGAGCTTAAAAGGTCCTTTTGGCATTCTGTTGTCATAGGAGATGTGGACGCATCTTTTCTAACTCCTGTCATTGTCCCTGTTTGAACAATAAAGGAAACAATTTGGGAAGTCAATAAAAAGAAATGGAAAAGCCCATTCTGAGTAATATATTAGAGATGATAGGAATTCCTAAGCTTTGAAATTAAGCATTCCCTCTCCCCCTGTGAGATGAAACAATGACAGATGGAAAACTCAGCGGGTTGTTTTGATTTTGTGAGCATTAGAAATCTGCAATATCTTATTTTAAAAAAGTACATTTCTGCAGTAACAGACTAGGTTTTTTTTTTTAAAATATATATATTTTATTGATTTTTTTACAGAGAGGAAGGGACCGGGATAGAATTAGAAACATCGATGAGAGAGAAACATGGATCAGCTGCCTCCTGTACACCCCCAATTTGGGATGTGCCCACAACCAAGGTACCTGCCCTTGACCAGAATCGAACTGGGGACCCTTCAGTCCACAGAATTACACTCTATCCACTGAGCCAAATGAGCTAGGGCTAACTAGTGCTTTTTTATTTTTATTTTTTAATATATATTTTATTGATTTTTTACAGAGAGGAAGAGAGAGGGATAGAGAGTCAGAAACATCAATGAGAAAGAATCATCCATCAGCTACCTCTTGCGCACCCCCTCCTGGGGATGTGCCTGCAACCAAGGTACATGCCCTTGACTGGAATCAAACCAGGGACCTTTCAGTCTACAGGCTGAAGCTCTATCCACTGAGCCAAACCAGTTTCGGTTAACCAGAGCTTTTTAGAAAACCCAGTTCCTCTTATATTCCTGCTGGTTTGTGTTTACTGTGAAAATACCCAAGATGGTAAATTGCTTTACTTCATTCTCCTTAATGATCATAATAAAAGATCATTCTTCTCTTGACAAAATAGAAGATTCCAGCACTCTATATCTCCACCCCCCCAAAAAATCAAACTTTTCCTGCCCTCAAAGCTTTCAAGGTAGACATGAACCTTAAATGTTTCTTTCAAAGACTCTACACTGGGCTAAAGGAAGTATCTCACTGGAAGAGATGCTCAACCAACCATCCTGGGCCCATGTGGCCTCCGCTCCTCTCCAACAAGCAATGTGCATCATTTCTTTCCTGAAGTGCTAGATAAGAAGATATGGACATGAATATTTATTGTTATTGTTTGTTTTTAATTATTAATATTTCTAATAATAATAATTTCTCCTTCTTAATATTATTTTCCAAACAATACAAAACTTCCCTGTCTTTTTATGGAATGCTTATTCACAATCTTCTGATTCCTTAGATTCTATAATCCAGGTTTCTTAAGGAAGTTATTTGGAAAGATTCACTCTTTCTTTGAGAAAAGGGTGAATATTCAAATAACACAAAGACAGCTTTGGTGTGTTGGGAATACCAGACCCTAAAACACCAAGCACTCAGTCTGCTGACTTCAGGAACGGAGCAGTTTAGGTGTGATCGCAGAAAATCAGAACTAGAGAGAGCAAGAGCATTCACCATGGACCCTGGCTTTCTAAACTATACTCAATATTAGCTGCTCACTGTTATGTGTGGACGTAAACCACCAGCCACTAAATGCACAATGGTCTTTTGTGTACAAAAACTTATGGGACCCTCAACCCATACCAGTACATTCTCACACTAGACATTAGTCGTCAGTCCACACGATGCATTCAGTCAGTAAATATTTGCTAAGTGCCAGGATTAAGCTCAAGCTTAGTTTAGGAGGAGGGGAAAGAAGGTGTGAGAGCAAGGGGATGAGTTATTCTCAACAATACAGTACTGTAAAGAATCAAAAATGACTCAAGGCAGTATGCAGCAGTAGCAACAGATACAGTATGCTCAGTATGTGCTTGACACTCTTCTAAGTCTTTTCCATATACCATACATTCTTTTTATAATAAACAGTTTCATTAAAGCCATCATTTGAATACCATAAAATTTAACTGTCTTTGGTATACAGTTTGATAACAGTAGCAAATCTATTCAGCTATGAAATCATGGGCAGTTTGAAACATTTTTATTCTGGTATTTGCTTATTTTTACAGTCCAGTTTTATAATATTTCCACATGCCAAAAAGGCCCCTTATGCCATTTGTAGTTCCCTTCATCCTGACTGGTTTGTTACTGCCCTCCCCTCCCCTGCAGCTCTATATTTATTGTTTGGCCATTTCATAAAATAAAAAAAACTTTACAATAGACACTACTTTTATATCTAATTTACAGGAAATAAGCCATAGGGACTTACATGACCTGCCAAGGTCACAAAGCCAGAACGTGAGGGAGCCAGCATTCCTGTCTAGACACTTTGATCCAGGAATTTTCACCATTCTGCTAGTTACCGCATATTAAACAGGATGAAAAGTCTGAGGAATTAACAGAGAGAGATCATGTCGGCTGTCGGGGAGACAATGCAGGAGGTGGAGTTTTGATAGAAGGGATAGGGAGCTTGGAATTAGCAGAAGCACTAAATTAACAACCTCACGGCTAAACGTTTAGTATATCCAGGAAATATTTATTGAGTATCACTATGTCCAGTTCCTTACTAATCAATTTAAATGCGTTATCTCATTAGTCCTTAATTTATATTATTGCCCTCATTTTGTGGAATAGGAAGTGGAAAGTGAGAAAAGGTCAAGCTGCCTGTCCAGTATTACAGGGCTGTTCAGAGCAAGGCTGGGTTTTAAATACAACCAAGGCCTGTACTGCAAACTCAACACTGTGCTAGTTGGCCTAAAAAATAAAACAAAGCAGCAATAATGACCATTGAAAAAACAACAACTGGGCCCAGCAGGTGAGGCTCAGTGGTTGAGCACAGACCTATGAACCAGGAGGTCATGGTTGGATTCCCAGTCAGGGCACATGCCCGGGTTTCAGGCTCCAGCCCCAGTAGTGGGCAGGTAAGAGAAAGCCCAACAATGATTCTCTCCCATCATTGATGGTCCTATCTCTCTCTCCCTCTCTCTTCCTCTTTCTGAAGTCAGTAAAGCAACAACAAATGAACAAAAGGAACCCTAATTTGTTATGTAAATAAACAGCTTTCTCTAAAAAACAACTGGCCTTTGGAGAGATTACTTTTGTGCTGGAAGTTAGAAGAGAGTAAGAGAGAAGGGAGGCAGGAGAAGCCATTTGCCACTCCTACCACTGCCTGGGCAGAGCCCGGGATGCAGGGGAAATTAAAATAAGCACCTGAGAGCAGTCGCAACCGAGGAGGCCCTGTGGGAGAGGTGAGATGGAAGGGCTGCCTGGGAGCGACGGAATAAATGTCTTTTTTAGTCACATAGGCCTCAACATTAGTCTTATCTTTTTCTGTTTTGATACTTCCATCAAAAGTTTGGTTAAGACAATTGACATTTGATGGGAATAACAGGAAATAAAACTTTTTTCTTTTTTTGTCTTTAACAGTCTCCTTTAATTAATTATTTATATTTGCAATATGAAACAGAGGCTGGGCACCAACACACACATTCACGCCGGCCAGAGAGGGAACTGGGTCAAGGTCACTTGGCAATTGGGCTGAACCCCAGACCCTCAGGCACTGGAGGGGGACTCCAGTCTGACCCCACCAAGCCCCCACCCCAGGGTCTGTGGGAGGCGCAGGGGTCTCATGAGTGTGTGAGGGCCCCATGGGAATGTCACCAGAGAGTGGCCAGGCCAGGCGGCGGGTCCTTGAGCTCCCAGGGAGAAAGTAAAACTTTTAACAGGGGGTCCAAGGACTTCTAATGGGCTCCACGTGTGTGCCTCAGGAATGTGCGGACGCCTCCTAAGTGTGTCTATCTGCTCACTCATTTTCAGGGGCAGAGGGACCAGAGCTTTCATCAGATTATGAAAGGTCATGACGCCCAGAGAAGTTAGGAATGACTGCACTGAGGCACAAAGCAACGCCGACGGGTGCAGATCCATGGATGCCCTTCCACTGTATGTGAGCGCTATGCCTTACAGGAGCTTTATTCCTTTTCTTCAAAGTCTCTAGGCTCTATCCCTTATTGAATTTCTAGAAAGCCATATATCAGCTTTTTATTATATTCATTCCTTCTATAAAATTTGATTTAGTGTTTAGTACACCAACAGTTACATACAGTTATGCATATTCATAAAATTACACATTCCTCTATATTTACACACACACACACACACACACAAAGTCAATATACACATTTAAAAAATAAAAGTGGTGGATCCATTAGGTTGATAAATTTCATATATAAGTATATATGTTTATATATAGGGAAATACATGTGAATACATTTATGTAAATAAACATATATTTCTGCATACACAGATGGAATTGGAGAAACAGCATCACAGACCTGGTGCCCACAAAGCAACACTTAGCTTCCCCCAGGTGGGACACAGACCCTGCCACCACCCCAGAGTGGCAGTCCACCAAATCACAGTATACCCTGACTAGACCCCAGGATGCAAAATGTGGCCCACAGCCCAGCTCAGCCCAGCCCTGAAACTGTTTCTGCGGGCACTGGGTAATGATGTCACATAGCAATGTCCAGCTTCTTATCCTTAGCGACCAGCCTCCTTGGAGTTTCTTCCCCCCACGAACATGACTTGTTTTATAGCCAGGTGCAAACATTTTACACTTTAACCAAATGTCTGTGAAGCATTTTCCTATGCCTCATCTCATTTGATCCTCATAGAAGTCCTGGAGTAAGTAGAATGCTATTTTCTTTTCATTAGCTGGAATATGAGATTTAGAAAGTTTAGAAACTTGACCTGACCAAAAAGAAGTAAGAAATGGTGGACCTTGAAAATGACTTCAGGTATCTCATTGCATAGAATATAGTCAAACACTGCTGCAGTTAAACATTTTACCCTTTGTTCTCCCTATATGATCTACAATAATAATCTGCTTCATGTTGATATTTACTGCTGTGTTGCTGACAATTACCTGAAAGAGAAGTTTGGGTGCTTCACTGGGCTAGAAAAAGTTTTGCTACAGCAGAAACCAGGTCTAATTAAGCAAGTTTATTCTATATCTATAAAAGGCTAAGTTGACTTGTGCATGTGTGATACAGATAAAGCTCTCACTGGCACCAATCACATGCGTGTGTTTCTATCTGTCATTGTCGATCAGGAATTTGGTTGACACTTCTATTATAGAGTAAGGGCGCATAGTGATATTAAAATATTTCTTCTAATTATTTCCTTTCAATGTGCACAAACTTATGCACTAGGCCACTAGTCCAATATAACTGGTGTCCTTATAAGAAGAGGGATATACCAGGGGTGTGTGCTCACAGAAAAAAGGCCTTGTGAGGACACAAGGAGAATACAGCTATGTGCAAGCCAAAGAGAGAGGCCTCATGGGAAAGACACAGGGAACTGTCATGAAGAATGGACATGGACTACATCTTAACTGAGTGGCAGTTACATAGATATATACAATTGTCAATGTTTTTCAAATGCACAGGAAAGACCCATGCAATTTTATTGTATGTAGATTAAATCTCAATTAGAGTAAAAGAAAATGAAGAAACCCACAGTTTTCTTGACTTTCAAGGCAGTGCTACTTTTAAGACTCTAATGTTATCTTTTGACATTGCCAATCAATCACCATAAGCACTCCAAAGGGACAAGCGTATGCATTCCTTAAATCACTAAATCATTGCAGGTAACGAGGTCAAAAGGTTCAACTGATTAGGTCCTTTTTTGTGGGCAAGGAGACAGAGAGAAAAACCAGTATCTATAATGTCACCTTAATTTACTCAACAAATATATAATGAGCATTTACCAAATATTAAGCAATGGTTTAGGGTAATACAACAGTGAACATATGGGGTGCTTATCTTCTAGTGGGAGAAATGGAAAACATAAATAATAAGTAAACTATATAGTATTTTGAGATACTTCTTTTTATTATAGAAGATGGAAAATGTACAGGTTTTGGTTTAAGTTATAAGATGCCTTATATAGCAACTTCTACTCTCAATGCTAGTTTCTTGCATTTGAATTCCTTTTTCGAGTGATCAGGGCAGGACAATTTAATCTACATGTTTGGGATTAGCCCTGTACTATACTTATCTTCTGTGTTCTATTAATAAAGGCATCAACTTTTAACCAATCTTTTAGCTCAGCCTTCTGAAAATCAGAAGTGATATCTTGTGCTACCTTTTCTAATGATCAAACAGATAATCATAATGATGCTACTAAAAAATAAACACAAGTAAACACTCCTTAGAGGCAAGATTGGAATGGTTTCTGTACTTTGGATATTCCAGTGTGTTTACTTTTTTTTTTTTTTTAATATATATATTTTTATTTCAGAGAGGAAGGGAGAGGGAGAGAGAGAGATAAAAACATCAATGATAAGAGACTCATTGATCTGCTGCCTCCTGCATGCCCCACACTAGGGATCAAGTCCGCAACTTGGGAATATGCCTTGGGAATATGCCTTGGGAATATGCCTTGACTGGAATTCTAACTGAACCTCCTGGTTCATAGGTTGATGCTCAACCATTGAGCCACACCAGTTGGGCCTTGTTTACTTCTTTATTCACATGACCCATGACTCCATCACAGACTAGAAAACGCTCGCATCGCTGCGAGCCCAGATGCACTTAGAGGAGCAACTAGAGCTTCAGGAATTACTCCTCACTTCAGATGGGTCTTCCATAACCCTCTTCCAGTAAAAGACAAGTGCACATGGAAGCCCCCCTGGAGCCTCAATCAGTGACAGCTGCTGAATATACGTAACCTAAAATACCCAGAGACAAAATGAAAGGTGTGGTCAACCCATCTGTAGATTGGAATTATTCGAGATTCAGCCTCTCTTAAACTCAGAATTTTAAGGGGATTGGGAGATCAATGAAAGAGGAATAAACAAGAGGTGGCTCTAAATGTAGCAGTGGGCTTTTGATGGCGGATGTAGGAGTTGGCAGTGACAAGCCCTGATCTACCATATCCATTTACCATGCGTGTTCAGTGCCTCACAGCCTCTGCCAGACCTTTCGCATAACTGAAAAAATCCCTCAGCTCCGTGGGCTCCTGTGAAAGGGAACCAGTGATTGCTCAGAAAAAGTTTGAGACAAGCCTGGCGAGCAGAATGACTCACTGGGGCCTCCCTCAATGACCATAATTTTTGCTAATGCTCCATCTCTCTATATATAAAAGGCAATGTGCAAAGTGTCCCCTTGGGAGTTCCACCAGGAGACCAGGAGTTCGATTGCTTGCTCTGAAGTGCACTGACTACCAGGGGCAGCACAGAACTAAGGAAGACCCTGGCGGGCAGCCAGAAGGCCCTAATTGGCCCTGATTGCCGGCCAGGCCTAGGGATTCCACCTGTGCACGAATTTCATACACCAGCCCTCTAGTATTAAAATAAGAGAAAAATAAGATAAAGCCTTTCTTATGAGTAGAAAAAAAAAGTTAATTCTTACAAGTACAATGCCCTAAAACAAAACTCTTTAAAATATGAAAATGTTTCAATTTTTCACTGCAACACTTTACCACCACCTCCCCACTCCAAAAAAATGGGGGGGGGGGGGGGGAGGAACACCTAATGAAAAAAATAATACCATGAGTGAAAGCTGTTCCTGAAAACTTTGCAGAATTGTAACAGCTTTCCCCTGGTTAAATTGATTGGTATAGCAACATTATAAAATGACTATTAGGATTCATTGTGCACAACAGAAAGTGCTGAAATGTCAGCAGACTGTACAGCAAAAAGTAATGGGTTCTGAAACCCTGTTAGTCAAAAATGATTTTGTTTCAAATTAGAAATTGATTTTTTTTGGACACAAGCCCTTTCTAGGCTTCCGGCTTCTGTGGCCAGGCCTGGGAGAGATTAACCTCCATCGTGGCAAGGGCTGGCCAGATACCTATCTCAGAGTGCCTTTTCCATTGCAGCTTTCTAATGTGGCTGTGGTCTTAACCAATCACACCGGTTATTTGTCCCTTTGCTATTACATTTCATTTTTCTCACTGTGGCATTTTATTTTAGTGCTGACATACAACACAAATTTGGTGACAAGTTAACAGAAGACTGCGTTAAGCCTTGCGGTGCAACCACCACACCGATTCTGACAGGATCTCCACTCTCAAAAGTCTGATGACTGAGAATAAAGCCTCGGAAGAGCCGCCCGTTTCTGAAGGATCACTCACAGAGAGGGACGATGGTTCCATCTCAGGTTCTGAGCCTCCTGAATTGCATTTTTGTTTCTAAGTTACCCAAAGGTGATGGAAGTCTGCAGAACTTTTCACTATATCAAACAAAATAAGCTTTTGCTTTTGTTTCAGATTGTGCCCAGACTCCTTCTGAAGTTTGGACTAATTGTCATCAATTATCTGGGAAAGGATTAAATAATTTCTAGATTAATCACAATGAAAAACAAGCAACATGACAATGCTGGCAGACGAAAGGAAAGAATGGAGCCATACCTGCAGCTCCCATAAAATGCCCACAGCTCTCAGGGAGCAGCTGAGAGTGGCTAGAGAGCTGATGAAAACATGGCCGCTTATACCAGACTAGCGGCCTGGTGCATGGAAATTCATGCACTGGAGGGTGGTTCCTCAGCCTGGCTTGCCACCTCTCACAGTCCAGGAGCCCTCAGGGGCGGGAGGTGACCTGTCGATCAAGGGCAGGCAATGCCCCCATCACCTCTGCTGCTGTCATTGCTGGCAACGCAAGCCTTAGCCGGCCCTGGTTACCTGATCCTCCCGCATCTGAGGCTTGCCTGTGCCTCGTGCCGGTCCTGTGGCTGAGGGAAGGTCCGGCCACACTGTGAGCCTGCTGCCCTCCTGGCTGGGCTTAAAGGTCTGTGGGACTCTGGCGGCAGGTGCAAGGAACAATAGGTCCAGCCACACTGCATGCCTGCCACCCCCCTGGCGGGGCTGAATGAACTGGGGGACTCTGGCGGGGCTGAGGGGACTGGGTACTGCCATTTTGTGGCTATGGGTGCTGCCATCTTTGTGACTGCATAATGGTCAATTTGCATATTCCCTCTTTATCAGATAGGATATGGGGCAGGACAAGTTCAATGGAAAAGAGGAAATCAGACGGAAATCAGGGTTAATGGCTGTGAGCAGGAAAGAAAGGTGTGTGGAAAGAGGTGTGAGCAGAGAGTGCCAATGTATTTTTGGCCCTTTGTTTCCGGTAAAGCTCTTCTGTATAACATGCCAGACTCCTCCCACTCTGCTCCTAAATCCTTTCCTTCATAACTCCAGGAGAACTTGGGGTGGTGAACACACAATACTATATATAGATGATGTGTTAGAGAATTGTATACCTGAAGCCTATATAATTTTATTAAACAATGTCACCCCAATAAATCCAATAAAAAAGAAAATAATAATTTCAGGAGAGATGAAGTCAGAGCCACTCCAGAAACAATTGGGAAACACAATTACATTTAACTGCTTCACTCAACATTTCACACAGTTGTTTATAATTGATTTAAAAAAAATATCCATGACATATAAAATAAGAAGAATCACTGGTACTTAAGACTGCTAGGCAATATATGCTTAAGACTTATGAGCTTCTGTTGCAGCCACAATGTAGAATTTATCCATGACCTCTCCTCCACCCTCCCCATATTTCCAGTTAATTGAAGATTAACTGTAGTTGTTAGAGTTTACTTTCCCGGCAGAGATTTATGTTCAGTTTCTTGTCCTCTTTACTCACTTTGAGCATTATTTTGTGTCTATGATCATACTTACTGCTGAATAATTCTTACGGTTGGCTGCTTGCAGAAAGAGGGACAAATGGGATAGTTTCTCATATGAGTATTCTAAGAGACATGCTGATGTAATTCACTGATCAGTATGGGATACCTATGGCCTTGCAGGCACATGTCAGCTTGTGACATATTTAACCTGCTCAGGGTTGTAGGAAATCATCTGAAGGTCGTGGCTAGTAAGATTCTAAAACTCCCCAGAAGCAGGTTCTCATTTTGCTCCTTTAGATGCTAAGCTTACCTCTTTGGGGTTGATATGTATCTGTCTTTGGACACGTCCACAGGGCATCCTTCTCCACAGGTGACTGAAACCCAACTGTCTTCTTCTCTCTTCTAGTCTCTATGCTGCTACTGGACTCTTGCTGCTTTTTGATGGATGATGATGTTCCAAGCAGCCAACCATCACATGCTGACTTCAACAAACTGAAAAGAATAGATACGAGTGAGCTGCAGAGAGCACAGAAGGGGTACAGATTCCTCAAAGGTGTATACATTCCGCATGAGTTGAAATAAAATTCATGGCAGTAAAGACATTCTTTTTCTTAATTTTTTAAACTGAGGTATAATTTAAAGAATTTTTTGAAGGTCTATTTTGTGTCCTGTCACAACAATGTTGGAGAAGAAATTGTCTTTCTCCTCTAAAAGCCTGTACTTGGATTTGGAGAACTGAGACTCAACCCCAGGAAACTGCTAATAAAGCCACGGAGTATGACAAAGAGCCAGAGTATCTGCAGAAGTAACAATAAAAGCAAACTAAGCAGGATCTGTGTAACGGAAGTGCTTCCAAGCACCGAAGATGAACATCGGGAATTAAAATATCACCAATTTGCTTCAAAGTGCATTTGTGTTTCCCATTTTCAATTGTTAGAGTATTTGTTATGTACCCAGTGTATAGAAGAAGGCAGTACAATAGAGCATGTGGAAGATTTGGTCTCTGTCCTCCCATAATTCCATTATAAAGCAACAACGTAAATATGGAGTAAGAGAAATTTTAATAAAAATAAACACCTGCATATGCTTTGCTCTAAATTAAATTGTGTTCCCATCTTAGCACATTTCCTCTCATAACATTTTATTTTTTAGAGAGTAATGTTCTGATGATGTATATTTATCCCTTAATATTCAGCCAGCCTTTTCCTTCTAACATAAGTTCACCACAGACTCATGACACTTTGGTTTCTCTTCTCCATGCCCATAAAGTAAAAATTAAAAGTGAAAAAAAAAAGACTTTTACTCAAAAAGTAAAGTTCTAAAAATTAAGATGTTTAAACTCCCCAGAAGAAGAGATAATATCTAGAAAATAAAGACTGATAGAGTCTTACTGGATCCATTACTAAGCCCCAGTTGCCCTGGGGCAGAAGTCAAATCTTGTAAACCCACAGAGTCACTGGGATTCTATTTGTATTGATCAGTAATGTTTGTTTATATTTTAATCCTATATAATAAAGAGCTAATATGCAAATGGTCATCACACAATCACATCATAATAGCTCAGATGCTCAACACGAGGGAGAAAGGAATGGGGACCAGCCAGGCTGCACTCTGGGAGAGGGTTGAGCTGCCTGCCCCTTGGTCCCAGGCACCAGCAGCTGGGGCTGAGGCTCAAGAGAGGGACAAGCCACATGCCCCATGGTCCAGGGTGCCAGCGGCTGCCCCTGCAGCCTGGGAGAGGGACCAGCCTCCTGTTCCACAGTCCTAGGTATCAGCACCTGCGGCTGTGGCCCAGGTTAAGCCACCCGCCATGGTCCCCTGCGGCTGCAGCTGCAGCCGGCCAGAGGAAGGGAAGCCCAGGTCCTGAGTGCCTGTGACTGGCTGGAGGAGGAAATGCTGGGTCTTGGGTGTGGGGCAAGGCAGAGGCGGTTAGGCGTGATCAGGCCAGCAGGAGAGCAGTTAGGAACGATCAGGCCAGTAGGGGAGCAGTTAGGGGTGATCAGCCAGGCAGGCAGAGGTAGTTAGGGGCCATCAGGCAGAGGAATTAGGGATGACCAGGCAGGCATGCAAGCAAGAGGCTAGGAGCGAGCAGTATCAGATTGTGAGAGGTAGTCGGACAACCCCTGAGGGGTCCAGATTGGAGAGGGTTTAGGCTAGGCTGAGGGACTCTCTCCTCTGCCCCTGTAGTGCACAAATTTTGTGCACCAGGCCTCTGGTTAATGAATTAAAAATAAGAAATCAAATGGCTTTGTGTAGTATGGCTTTATGCTGACATAATGCAATGTATTACAGTAGGTCCTTGGATTACATTAGAGATGCATTCCTAAGGCATGACATAATGTGATTTTAGCTGTAAGTTGGAACCCAGAACATAAGAACCTACGTCACTCACATGGAGCATATACATAGCAGTAATGAAGTGAAACAGTTAAAAAAAAAAAATTTTTTTTTTAAATTTAAAAGATAACAATTCCTGACATTTACTTGTGGTAAATAAAAATTAAAAAACATAAAGCCCATATGTACATAAGTCAAAATGACGGAATTTTTTAAAAAAATAAATAAATGGGAGATGGCGACATAATTACAAAACGGTGTATGTAAAAACTGACATAACCCGAGAGCTGCCTGTATATTTATACTTTAAAGATTTTTTTTTTTTTTTTTATCAGAATCTAGGAATCACTTTCCCATGAGGAACACTAATGAATGTGTATCTTATGAATGTAAAACCTCTACTCATGGGACAGGAAAACAGGAAACTAAAATTAACTCACTGTGAATGTAAGATAAATAACTTACACCAGAAGCCCCAAACCCAGGCAAATCCAACTCTATATCTCTGCTTGTTAATGTGACCAAGACTACTACTGGCTTCCCCCAAGTTCACTCATTCTCAGCTCAGCTAAGCTCCCAACACCACCAATTCTGATCAGTTGTAATACTGATTGCTTTCTGCTTCTTTACACCAGTTTACACAGAAGGTCTTCTGTAGCTTTATTCCAAACCCCATCCTGGTAATCCTCTAACTCAACAGGGAACTTGGTTTCTAATTTTCCTAAAATAGGAATGACTGTATAAAGAAGAGTTCTTTCATTTGCACTTATTCCCATCTTTACTCATTTACTATTCCTCTCTTAATATCTCTGAAGAAAATCATACCTTTTATTCATACTATTTAAAATATATTTTTTATTGAGAGAGAGGAAGGGAGAGGGAGAGAAAAACACTGATGTGAGAGTGAAACACCTATTGGTTGCCCACTATGGGAATCGAACTGTCAAGCTTTTGGTGCACAGGATGACGCCCAACCAACTGAGCCACTCCAGCCAGGTTTATTCATACTTTTGATTTTGACCCATGCCCTCTGTAACTACAGCCTGTCAATCATCTCCTTTTCTTAATATTTATAAACTCCTCCCTCCTCTCAACCAGATTTTGTCTCAGAATTATAAACGAGATCAAAATTTCCATTAAAAATCAAAGCCAAACTTAAACCTAAAACTTCTTAAGTGGATAAGTATAATAATATTTGATGTCAGTGAGGGTGTGGAATGACAGCATTTTAGTAACTGATGAAGGAACTGCATGTTGGTATTGCTCTTTTGTGGGTGATATGTCAACACAAATAAAATAAGTAAAAATGCATCTACCCTCCATTAGGTCTGATTGATCAATGGAATTGATATCCTCTCCCTTGAGAAACTGATCATTTTGTGATGACATTCCATTTTCCTTAGACCACATTCTATTTGCTAAGACTAGTAACTTCCCCTTGCCCAAGATCTGGACCCACTCAGAAAACTCCCCTAGGAAAAAGCCCGCTAGCGTCCTTTAAAAACTCTGACTCCCCGATCTCTTGGTGCTGCTGCCGTTTTGAGGCTCAGTCAATCTGGTTTCCAGATGATCTAATAAGTTTATAATTCTTTACCACTTCCTGCCTTGTGCATTCCTCCTTTTGAGACCCTAAACACCTTCCAGCTAATTCTGCTTTTAAGAAGTTATCCCATAAAGGATGGTCACAGCAGAATCTCTCTATATAAAAGGCTAATATGCAAAGTGTCCCCTTGGGAGTTCAACCAGGAGACCGGGAGTTTGATCGCTCATTATGTGCTGACCCACTAGGGGGTGGTGCGGAACGAAGGGAGGCCCCAATCAGCTCCGATCACCTGCCAGGCCTAGGGACCCTACCTGTGCATGAATTTCATACTCTGGACTTCTAGTTATTTACAACAGTGAAAAACTGAAGGCAAAGATCATTTAATAGGAGAATAAGAAAATAAACTATGATACATCCACCATAAGGAGTACTATTTGGCCATTAAAAGAAATGAGGTACATAGTTCTCCATACTATTGTGGAAAAACTTTATGATATGCTATTAAGTTTTTCAAAAAAGCAGTTTGCAATAAAAAAATACACACAACTATTTTTAAAGTTTTGAACATATAAATACCAAATCAGATAAGTAGAAATTGAATGGCTAAAATACTTCTATATTTTAATTTATATTCTTTTGAATATTCTTATTTCTTCTAATAGGCATGTACTTTTATAATTAAAAAAAATAAAAACTTCCACTATCTCCTTTATATTACCACTTCCTCTCTTTCTCCTCTCTGCCAAACTTCTAGAAACAGTAATTTTAGCAAACATACCTAGTAAAACTATTTTTTAAAGGACAAATCTAATGACCTTTTCATTTTCAACAGTCTTGCTTGTTACTAAACCAACAATTGACTCCTTTCTTAAAACATTTTCCCCTTAGACTTCATAATATATTATCTTGATTGTTGCAATAGTTTAAAGAGGCTTCTACTCAGATTCTTTTACTGGGAACTCTTTTACTTCTTCTCCCTAAATGCAGACATTCCTGAAGATTCTGTCCTTGTCCTTCTCTTTTGCACTTTCACAGGGATCCATGCCACACCATTGTATTGTCAATTATGATTTATAAATAGATTTGTCCAGCCTATAGTGCTGTCCACAATTGCTACCTTATCAAGTACCTCCTGAAAAGCTGTGAAAGGAGTCTTGTCATACTTCCCAAACCAATTCATGTCAAAGCAATGCATAATCTTTATCTTGAAACTAGTTTCTCCATCTGTTTCCATTCTCATTGAATGAAAGACCTCTTCTCCCTGTCACTCAGATGAAAAACTCCAGTTGTCTCAATTTCTGGTTTCCTTATTCCAGTTCAATAGATTACCAGATCAATCATTTACTTATATATTCATCAGCTATTTATTGATGACATACTGTATGACAACATAATATGCCACGGGACTGTGGTGGGCAAATATGAAAACAGATATTTACTGAGTACTTGATACACGCTGAATACTGGGCATACAAATATAGGCATACAAAGACCCTCTGGCTCATATTTTCAACGTGATTTTAAAGTTGGAGACAGAGGTGGAAACAAATCCTTTAAAATCTGCTAAGATAAAAGCTGAAATTCAGGAATACACAAGTTGTTTTGGGAACAC